AGAGACAGTATTATACGTGTTTTATCATATGAGGGGTTGTTTTAATGTTTAAAACGTGATAATATGGTAATCTCCTTCCACATCATAACCGGAGTGTCAAGGTAGGCACTGTTTAGATGGTGTTTGCTGCTGTCAGAGGAATACAATTGTAATAACACCAACCAAACAAAGGGTTACTAGGAGGATACTGGAGTTTGCCAAGAGTACATTTTGCTGATGTCAGCAACCCGGAAGGTAAGTTGATTTTGACCATATGTAGGAATAGACAGCAGAGGGATAATACACAGCACTGCTGGGTGTGGTTTTACAGGGATTTAGCAAGTGCCAACTAGCAAAATAAGCAGGGCAAGGAGATTAATTACCTGCAAAGGTGCATGTTTAACTCTCAACAGTGCTGGGTTATGGAATAGATGTTACTAGCAAGCATTTTGCTTAATCACCTAATTACGTAAAAAATAAATACATTATATAAAATACTATGTTAATTAAATACAGCTGAGTGACAGTCCGCTCCACCCTATCCTAATACGCACACATAGACATTTAGCATTGCAGTTATGTGTTTTCTCTCTCAAGTGCAACATTCTGTAGCACAGGCAAAGTCACCGAGTACTAGCACTGCTCGTGTCTGAGGGGTTGGTTTCTGTGACACGAGTTACTCGGTCAAGCTCAGGAGGTACTTGGTGTCCAGTCAGAGAATCTACTGCCAACCAAAGTGGGTTTTAGTGCCAGTTCTGCAATTTCACAAGAAGAGGGGTGACTTTGATGAACCCTTTCTTCAGTCCCACACCTTGTTTGAGGATCAGGCCTAAACCAGGGCAAACTAAGTTTATATTCCCTCCACTTCCATCTGTTTTGTAAACAGTGTGGTGAGCTATGAGCCTGTTGCTCTCTAGTTCACTTCAGCACAGATTAAAATTCAGCACGCTCAGTGTATTAATAGATCACTCAGTGATCAATATGCACAACTGTGATGAAAGGCAAGTGCATTTGTATGTGGTAAAACGCCAAGTTTTAACACTTACTTAACTACAGAGATTAAAATTGCCCAATGCATGATGTGCCTTACTTCTATAGAAATAGTCAGTTCTCTCTGAGATTCAGAGAGAAACTCTCTTTTTGTTGCCCCAGCTGTACTCACAAGGGAATATTTTGCAAATAACAGCATTGTGAACATGTATTTTGTTTGGCTGTGAGTGTTGTCAACGGATTCAGGAAGTGAAGTCAGAAAAAGGCAGGGTTTCAAACAGGGCAGGCTACACAGAAATGCCTAGGCAAAGAGCCTCTAATCAGAACAACATGTTTGGGACACAGGAATATTAATTACAATTTGGGTCTGTACTAAAACCAACAAAACCCTCACACTTCTAACCCATGAACAGAAGTGAGCTACAAGGGGGGGTTGGCCATGATTACTTACTGAATAACTTTAAATCCAAAGTACTTGTCAGTTCAGAAGTAACACTAACAATCTAACTCATTCTATGGTGGGAAAGAGTTACCTACCAGCCAGTTTCAACCTCAGAACACAGTAGCAGTTACACAGAGTCTCCATCCTCCAATCACCTACGTCTCTGCATGTCTAAAAAATACTGACCTCAAAACATGGCACTTTAAATGCCAGCATAAGGCAGCGCGTACCCATCGAGTGATGAAGTCTGCTGACCAAGAGACACCTTAGCTATCTTTCCATTTTATAGGAAGCTGTTAGGAAATACAGACAATATCTCTCCAAACCTATGTGAAAAATGGCTGACAGTTTTGTCCCATGCAGAAGCCTAAGAAATCCATTATAATAATTACTTTCTGAAAAAAGTAAATTTGTTTTACAGTGAAGTACATTGCTGCATATGCATTAACAATCCTATCCCCACAACTACAGGAAGCAAAGAATCTAACTTCCAGGAGCCCAGGTTACTGCAGAGCAGCCTTACATCACTTATCTAGTATCACACAGCACGTACAGACACTGCACGGCAGAGTGTGGAGCCTAAACCAGCAGCAAAATTGGAATTTATACAGCTGGATCAGCACAGTGCTCTGCCCGAGTGAACAACCCCGACTGAGGCTCTGGGGTTATTAGCCCGGGCAGCGTTACTGAACAGACTGCAGAGGCAGATGGACCAGCTCAGGCTGGAACAAGCTTGGGCACCAGAGAACACCACGGCGTGCGGTGTGCCGTGTCCATGAGACGTGCAAGGCAGAACTGAAACAAACAAAAAAAAGAACACTTATCTTTAATATCAAGCCTAGCGCTTTCTCTGTTCTGCATGTCTTCCTCTCTACTCCTGTTCCCAAGACTCAGGTATAACAGAGTATAGTTACCCACATCAAGAAACTAAAACCAGTTCAGGCAAAGTTTGCTGTGTAGAAAAAAACAAGTTGCAAACATTATAAGTGAACACAAAATATTGCTAACAGGCAGATGGACAGCAAGGAAATAATATTTGAAATTACCATATACACAAACCTATTATGAAACAGAATATACCTTAGTAACACCTAGCATCAGGGACAGGGAAGGAACATAGTATCAGCCTTCCAACTACAGAAAAGGAAAATTCAAAATGTAGGTGGTTTCCTTTTTGAGAAGGTAATTCTTCCAGAGAAGTCTTTGTTCTATAGAATTACACGTGCTGCCAAGACCAGTGTCTGCACCCAAGGACTGGTGGCAATCCTAATTCTGCACATATACATTATTGTTGACAGTAACATTATAATATACTCTCTGAACAGAGAATGGTGCTTCTTACAAAGTAAACTTGTAGAAAGTCGTCATATAATTTACCATGAAAGCCTCTGACTACTTAAACAGTTTTAGAGTGGTTTTGCACAGCAGGGTCCTCTTTTCCAATTTTGCACATTATTCTTCGCAGTACATTTTTGTTAAGGAACAATGGAACTACAAAAATCAAATTAGATGTTATTCATGGTCCCTTCTGTCCTTAAATATTCTGAAATACTAGAAACACAGTTACAATGGGGAAGAATGGCTTTTTAAAAAGTTAATTAAATATTGAAAACACTGCTAATTTTCCTAGTTATAGAGTAACAACAGACATTAGGGGAAAACAAAACAAAAACCTAATTCAGAAGAATGAGTAAAGTGAGTAACCTATTTTTGAAATCTCATACAGAACTTGATAGGTTATGACTGACCCGATTAATCCAAATCTCTATAAAATCCCTAGAAACTAACTCTGTAAACAACAGTGGAGGAAGAACTATTATTTCTTTCCCTCAGTCTCAAAATTATTTTGTGTTTTGAGCCTTGTATTCTCCAAGCAATCTTTAGGTTGATTCCTTAAACAAAAGGACCAGCAACTTCTTGAAATTCCTCTGAACTGTGAACTTTGTTCCTTATTCTCTTTTAAATTAAAACCAATTCCTGTGACACCTGACAGCATAACACCAAAGATGTGGGAAACAAGATACAATTCCAGCAGATGGAGCTCAAAAGCAAACAGTCCTGGAACAAGCTGCACAGCTGCCTGCAACAGGAGCCTTTGCTCAGAATGGAAAAGTAGTAGCCAGAAAAATCTTCAGACAAAACCTACTACCATGCAAACATAGTAAAAAAAGAGTAATTTTATCAGCTTCCCTGAATTCTTAAAACAGTCAGTGCAATGAGTAGGGACATTCTGCATCATTTTAATCATAGAATAACCAGTTATTTCAGAGGACACTAAGGTTCAAAACTGAGCATCCCTAGCTATTTTTCTGAATTCTCATCCACAATGATGAATTAGTGGGCACAACTTTTAGATGTCTGCTGTTATCTGACACATAAAAGGCAGGAGAACAAGTCATGAAAAGATGCATGATGCAGGCATAACCCAGTGAATGTTGCTATTCAAACTCGCAAAGCCATTCACATAGCGCTCATATTGAAAAGAGATAACTTAAGAAGTTTTGAATCTCCATTGAATGGATTACTGGTAGGTTTAAAAGCATGGCCTAGGACTACCAAAATTGGAGCCTACCTACTTCAAGGGATGTGATCCTCAAAACTGCTGACCTCTGTGTGACTGCAAATCAAAGGACCTTGGCAACTATGAAAAGTTCATCCTAATTTGTGTCCAAAAGTAGTTTTAGAACTGTTAACGATAGTAAAAATTGTGAGTGGCTGCACCCACCTTGCAAGCTCTGGTTGTTATTTTCACCTTGAGAAGTGAAACGCAAAAAGTTTCTTTT